GATACTTAATTTGGAATCTCTACTGACTCCGAGAACTAGTTTGGACGTGTGACTATTCAATGCGTTTATTGTATTCTAGTGTAATAAAATATTAACGGTCTTTCACGGGCGTGACAGAGGTTTTTAGGGTGGTAACAATTACTGAATATCGTAAAGAATCATTAGACCTATGGTAAGAAAAACATTAGCAACACAGACTCGGATTAAACAAGTACAAGCCTTGTCTGTTAATAATCAGCCAACCTGTTTACTGCCTTCCATTTAGTGAAAGTAATCGTCAGTGAAATGCTCCAATTTGTAAGGTAGATAATCTCGAAAAAGTCACAAATAACTTCTTTTCCACTTTATTTAGTTTTTACTTAGGTCTATTAAGAACAAAACAATACAAGGATTATCACATTTTTTTTTATAGGGCATGGAGGTATAACAGTAATTGTATACCTACAGTACATGGATAGAGGAAGATTTGTCACCCCTGCTCATGATTGCATTTGTTTATTTATTTTATTTATTGTTATTTTTTTTTCTCTTTATTATTTTTCTCAAATTACCCAAGAAATTATGGAGACATCTGTTTAAATATTCTCGTAGTCATTTGTGAGTAGCCAGTAATAGTTGGGCCTATGTGGCAAAGAGGAATGGGTGGGCACTGAGTGTAAGACAAACATTCTGAAGGGATTAATAATTGGTGTCTAGCCGTTATCGCCATCACCATCATCTTTGACTTTCATCAGTCAGTTCGAAGTGCAACACACCGCACTTAATATAATTTATTAATTATTTTTGAAGGTCTACTTATTTAAATTTATTTTGGATTGAAATAATGGCATTGATCTATAAGCCTAGATAAGAATTGTTATTTTTTGTTTATATTTCATTTGTTTTCTTCGGTCACATGAACGGTAGGCCTCTATTAACTTTCACTTAGCTCTATAGTATAGGTAGGGAGCATTCATGTCAAAACCTCAAGACCACAGTAGGCATAGTGGCGTAAGGCCTAATTAATATTTATACTTATAGTCATAGAGTTGAAAGGCGTTGATAATCTAGACACCATAGAAAACATTGGAACGTCTCCTAAATACAGAATAATTTTTACTATAAATCCCATCCCTTAAAAAAGGCAAACAATATTAATTATCAAAATATAAAATATCTATTCAATTTGACATTAAAAAAAATATATAATTTAGGCCTAGTATATACAGATATATTAGAAACGATATTGTGTTAAATATTCCTATGAAAAAGTGAAGACAATTTGAAAATGCGAGTTTTCACCATATTGGTTTCAAATCAAATCTTTGTCCAAATTGGCCTATAGCAAAAACTTATTCTGGAAATTCGTCTTAAGACACACATAAACCTACCAACGAAGACAAATTGCAAAATAATTTTAAACTACAAAATCAAGAAGTCAGATAAAAGAAACAAAAATTACAAAATTACCCATTTAAAGTTTATAAAATACAATTTAAATTTACAATGTCATTAAATACAGTTTACAAATTCAATAATAACATTTACAATTTCAAATAAACAAAAAAAGACACAATTTTATAAAAATATGATTTAAATTTACAACTTAAGTTATAAATACCATTTACAAGTTCAATAAGTATAAGATTACAATTTCAAAGAACTAAAATATACAAAATCAATAATGTATCAGCAAAGAAGACTGATTCGATGTTCGACAGCTCTAGTGAGGAGACATACTGTACTTTATTGGGTATATGAGTCCTATGCTTATATCATTAGATATTCCCATAAAACGACAAGCTTTGGTTTAATATAGGCCTGGTATATTGTATATAAGCATATAACCCCCTGCTATGAACGAATATAGACTGATAACATTTTAACGAAGAGAAAGTTATAAACAATTTCAACTTTATTGCAAATAGTAGACTCATTTGAACCGACGGCATCGTATCAACAAGTATGTAACAGACAAATAATGTCTGCAGAATTTGAGGTCATAACACCATGACCTTATTTAACGAGCACCATGAAACCCTCACAAAATACATAAACGTCGCAACACAGATTTTATTGTTGGCAAGCTACAGTACACCGACTGCCTTGCAACCTGCTTGCCCGCACGAGGACCGACCCGTAACGTTTACTATAATACCACCAGTGCTTATTCTGTCGTTATCTTTTATTGAAAGGCACAATCTTTGAGCTGTGTAATACTGTTTTTAAATTTCAAATATAATTGACTTTGGAATATAAAAGCCTTCCAACTTGATAAAATGGAGACCATGTTCCTCCGTGTAATGATGCGAGACAGTTCGTAAATGTTGCTTTCCAAGTTATCACACGGAAGCCAATTTACTCATCGCACACATGGAAATAGGTGGATGGCCCGGGTTTGCGTTAAATGTGCTGCCACGTGATTGCACAGAGTCTTGTGAAGGAACGGACCGCTTCCACTGCCCACCAGAAGCAACAGAAATATTATTAACCAAAAGTAAAATCGTTTAGAAAAGAGATTAGAAAATTGTACTTATGAGCTCAGCATTTCAAAAGGTATTAAGAAGAAAATTTAATTTCAAGTATAGTTCGGAGATCTCTTTGAGGGCTGGCCAAAAGGAGACGATACTTTGGTCCGCGTTTATAGTCAGATCTAGATAGTCGACAATCGTTTAGATAACAAAAATTGAATAAAAAAAATAGCTCCAACTACTGCTAATCTGTCTTTATTTTTAATAAGCAAAATTAGTATGCGAGCTCCAATAATAACCACGAAGGAATATATTATTTATTCTTTCACCACTAGCAACAATATCGTGGTGACACTACCTTTGTGAGTAACCGACAATTGGTTTATAATTAGAAATCAATCTAATTCAAAGGCGCAGTTGAAGTTGAATTACTAATTTTAATCGTATGTATATTTCAAGAATTAGGAATACCGTACTAATTACAAAGAACAGGAATAGGGAGGCAACGCATTAAGAAACCTATTCTCAGCCCATTGATAGTGAAGGTTACATTTATTTTGTCACAAACGGTTATAATGAATGTCGATTGAAAGCAGTTGACGAATTTTTCGATTTGCTGCGGATTTTGTTTCTTTGCTAAACCCTTGATATCTTTGTTGGTTTTACCCAAATGGCTTTGCTATATTCATGCCGGAGAGTCAGAATTTGCGGCGTGTTTTGAAGCGGTATTCATCAGAAATTACTACACACAAAGCCGCCTGCCATGTTCAATTCAACGGCCACCTTTTATCATGCTAATCCCTGTATCGTTTTAACTAGCTCAAACTCCGGCCATTCAACAGGCAACAAAAGCATGGAAAGATGGATGGCTCACAGATCTTAATTAGTATTCTTTCGATGAAAGAAGATTTTCTCATTTAATTAAAAAACAAGTACGAATTGAAAAGCGCAACAAAAAGGCACTGTTTGGTTTACTATAAGTAGTCGTTCAAAGTTAAATAAGAAAAGGGCTTTGGCTCTGTATGTAACTTAAATCACTTTTAGAAGGCATATTTGCAAAAAATTGTTTACGTTGAAGTAAAATAACCGATCTTAAGACAAAAATAGATGATTAATACCGATATCGTTAAAAGCCTTCAATAACCCATGACACTACGTCAATCGAATACGGAGGTAGTAGTTTTGTTCTGTGGAATGTAAAAGTTTCTTTTATTGAGTCTTCCAAGTTGTAAATTCAAACAGATAGAGAGATTTATTGAACTCCCTTTTAAAAACTGTGACACAGACAAGACAAGTTGTAGTGCGTCGTCCGTGTACATTAAACCACAAACGTAGAAACGTAGCAACAAAACTAAGAAAATTATCTTAATTAACTAAAATATGTCGATAATGGAAATACAACACAATTAGATCATAAAATTGTAAAAACAGATGGTATTATTCCTGAAATAACAATGTATACTCAGTACTTTTTCTATTTTTCTATGTTCTTCGATTATTACAGTGCTTCGATTGTATGTGATTACCTTTTATGAAGGTAATTATATTGCCATCGGAATGATGTATCATGTGGAGCCAGATACCCATAGGCCTACTCAAACCCTATTTTCAACCTTTTCATAATACTGTACTGCAAAACATAGTATTCTTTTCTGTGATCCCCTCCACAAGCACACACACTAAAATGTTGATTTGTTCCATTCTGAGATCATTTATCTTTTTCATGAAGCGTAGCCCTACTTATTCCTACGATTCCAAATCCCTTCCTCCAAAAGCGTTTATTTTTGTACTCATTTGAAAATATTGAAATGGATGGCCACATCAAAATATGTTTCGATGGCCTGTAATCGAATAACTTGAGTTTAAGTTAAAGTCTTTCCTCCATGGTTAAAGAGTAACAGTTTACTCTTGAATTAAAATGTACGTTTAGGCCTAACTCGTTAATGCAGTAAAGAATTACAAGTTTTATGCAAAACTTTATTACTGCATTAGAAATAGTCTACCAAATTTCAATGTGAGATATGGCCTAGGCCTACTACCCCTTTGTCCTTTCAACGGCACATCTTCACTTGTCATCAACCTTGGCAGTATAATTAGACCTACTTCTTTTGAAAATCCTGAACACTTTTTTGAATTCCGTAGGCCTTGATCCATTTTTTTTTTGCTGTAGGTCTATGTATTTAAATGGATATAGTTAAATAAAAAAAATGGTATTATTGTAACACAGGATTCAGTTATTTATGTCTATGAGAATCAGATAAGATTAGGCAAGATAACAGTCTATAGAATTTTAATAAAAAGCCGGATACACAAAGTAATTTTATCATTTTCGTTTCATTTATTTATTTAGCTTCAGGCTGCGTCAGCAACATTTGTTGGTGTCAGCCACTCTGAAATGTAGGCCTACTGTACACAATAAAAATAAAAAAAAAAAATAATTAAAAAAAAAATAATAAAATAAATGAAATAAAAATGCCTTTTCAGTCGGTATATTTATGGATTTTTAAAGTTCTCATAAATGCAATCAATAATACTATAATGAATATTATGTACTGTATAATATTTGTACCTCAAACAGCGCATTTATCATATAAGAAAGAAGGTGGTACAACAATCTCATTTCAAAGCCCTATTTATTATAGGTCAGCAATAAAGTGACTTTGCAGAAAGATTATCGCTACATATATAATGTCATAAAACTATAATCATGCCCACCGCAACAGACCGGTAAACATACTGTAAAGCTAGTTCAATCGCTTTCATATGCTAGGTTTGAACTACAAGTAGTAAACACAAAGCAGGCAGGCGCTTAACTGATATGATCTCACTGCCATAACTTACCATGGACGTATCAAACTTCAAAGGTGCCGACAAAGAACGATACAACGTGACCGTACCGCGCAGACTTGAAATAGTGTCCTTCCGCCGTAGGCCTTCCAATGAATTTACAATAAAACATTCAACATATTATTATTTGAGTAAACTGACTAAGAAATGAGAACATTCTCCATTAACATTCTGATTTTATTTAACTTGGAATGAACCATATACCTGAGAACACACATCAGTTATAGTAATATAACTAGGCATGTATGGTTAATGTGTTCCAATATGACTACGCGAGTGTGATGAGGTTTAGTATACGGCATTGTGCAGACTTTCGGCTTGATCCAGTCAAAGCATTCCCTAAGTGGTATCACTTACGTGTTAGCACGGTGTATCGATGACTTCTGCGATAAGCTAAGCTGGTTGCTGAGCTATATTATAGCTGGAGCCAAACTGTTCCGACGGTATCAGTCAGGGCTGGCATTCGCTTAATTTAAAGCACGATGCAAGCTAGGCGTTTTCAGATTTGGATTTTAATAACAACGCTTCATTTTTCCAGTTGTTTGTCCCCGATTGATGAGAACAACCGCAAATGTGAGAGGGTCACCATTCCAATGTGCATAGGGATCGGTTACAATTACACCAGCATGCCAAACAGATTTCAACATAGAACTCAAGATGAAGCAGCTCCAAAAATCCATGAATTTGCACCGCTTGTGAACCAGGGTTGCTCTGATCAGCTCAACAGATTTCTGTGTTCGATGTTTGCACCCTTCTGTACGGAAGAGTACGAATTTCCCATTTGGCCGTGTAGGCAAATGTGCGAAGATGTGAAAGCAAAATGTGCTCCCATCATGAAAAGTTTTAACTACGAATGGCCGCAGCCAATGGATTGTGAGGGTCTTCCAGTTTCCGACTCCAATGATCGTCATGTTCTCTGCATGATGGCTCCGAACACTTCGTCAGGAAATCGCCCCAACAAGACCTCTGGAGTTCCGTCATATCCACTGATACCTTCGCAGGAAACGAGTGATCCTAAACCTAATGAAGATAACCCGGACAAATGTGAAAATCCCAGTCGATTTGTTTATGTAAAGTTGACAAAATCATGTGCCCCAAGGTGTAACGTGGATGTTTTTTTTCGTGAATCGGACAAGAAATTCGCCGAATTGTGGATGGGAATTTGGGCAGTCGTTTGCTTCTTCTGTACAGCGGTCACTGTCTTAACTTTCTTCGTCGACCGCGTTCGTTTTAAGTATCCAGAGAGACCAATAATTTTTCTTAGTCTTTGTTACAATATCTACTCAATAGCATATATTGTCCGTCTCATTGCAGGATCAGAAGCAATTTCATGCGATGAAAACCAAGCAGGGGAGAAATACCTTATTCAAGAAGGCTTAGAAAGTACTGGCTGCACTATTGTATTTTTGATTCAATATTATTTCTTTATGGCCAGTTCAATATGGTGGGTAATTTTAACCATAACATGGTTTTTAGCTGCAGGAATGAAATGGGGATACGAGGCCATAGCAGCGCACAGTAGTTATTATCATTTAGCCGCATGGGCAACCCCAGCCCTTAAAACGATTATCATTCTAACCATGCGAAGAGTGGACGGTGACGAATTAACCGGGATGTGTTTTGTTGGAAATCAAGATGTAACGGCTTTAACATGGTTCGTGCTTGTGCCGTTGTTTGTTTATTTTTTCTTTGGGACGTTTTTCATTTTGGCTGGATTTTTTTACTTGTTTAGAATAAGAAAAGTTATGAAAAATATGAAAAATGACGGGAATAACATCGATAAGCTAGAGAAATTAATGGTCCGTATTGGAGTATTTTCTGTTCTTTACACGGTACCAGCCACATCTGTTATTGCCTGTTACTTTTATCAACGCACGAATTTTGAACTATGGAAAGTACAATCGATGAATACTACTTGCATTGGTGACTCATGTACACTACCTTATTCTATTCCGTCAGTTCCTGTACTCTCAGTAAAACTATTCATGTTATTAGTAATTGGTATTACGAGTGGCATGTGGATATTAAGCTCTAAAACAATCAACAGCTGGATGAAGTGTTGTGATACGACATTTGGATTTAACCAAAAGAAAACCAAGGCCGTAAATCATCAGGCTGTAGCGATGTACACAACATCTCCCTCACTCAAAACAGTGATTGTTCCTTCCGAAGGCCACAGCGCTAATGGAGAATCGTCGAGCAGAGCCCCCAGTTTACAACCCGTCACATACTCAAGAGTACCGAACCCAGGGTTTAAAACAGGAAGTGACATAATATAAGCACAGTATCACGTTTTGTAAAATACTCCGTTACTGACTATGTAAATTTCATATTAGAAATAATTGAAACGCACTACTTTAGGCCTAATGAATAAATGTTGTTTATATACTGCATGTATTGTTTGGTTTACTGAGTTGTCTACGAGTGAGATGATTCTTACTAGTTGTCGCAAATATTTGATTGCACTCAGGAAGTTATCGTAACCGAGAGTTCCATATAGGGATGCGAGTCGTTTAATCGCTTAAATCAACATCGCGTATCTAGAGACATGGCCGGCAGATATCTGTTGAATCCAAAGGTCAGACAATCCACACTACAAGCGGTACTTCTAAGGCTAAACAAATTGTAATTTATTATTTTGATGTCGCACCTGTAAATATCGTTTTCATACGTTCGGAAACCAAACACAAACCAAGTGTTATTAATCTGCCGCTCCGTGGTGATTAGCCCGGTGATATTAACTAATGCGTTTACTTATAATTCTCAATGCGATTAGCCAACGGGGTCACGTACATTTTATGGTGCAGAAAAAGTGACTAAAGTTTAGAGATTCAACCCATGCAGCTTTTTGAATGGTCTGATATTTTTAATATTTATACAACGATAGTTTTCCGCTGTAAAAATGAATTGTTGGACGTTCGCCTCCTATGCAGAAATATTTGCCAAATTCTGTAATAAATTATTATTATATGTAGATTTTTAGCTTCTGTGATTGTGTGCAATGGCATAAAGGTGATTGAAGTAGAGTATACAGATATCGATACAATTAAAGATACACTGTCATAAGCTAATAATGAACATTCAATTTTTATATTGAATTGCTAAATTTACAGTATTAAGTTATAATACACTTCCTGTATTCTGTATTCTAGTCTCTTAAATTGCATAGAAATCAATTAAAGAATTTTAGTAGTACAGTACTGTACAGTCAATATACCTGTTAATAACTTATTTCGGATAGTTTTAAATGAGTACTGTACTTGAATTTTTTAATTGTATTTTTGAGGTGTTTTCTGATTTTTTAGGCAGACAGTGTATCTTTAATATTATTGTAATGTTGTAAACGACATACTGATACAGTATTTGCTCGTTCATTGCTACTCTAGATGTCCTGGCCTTGAACTAACCGCCAATTCGGCATCTCGTTTTATCTCATTCCCCATAGGTACCTTAACCGACTTTTAGGTCTTGCTTTCATATGGTTTTAATGTCTTCCTCTTGTGAAATGCCCTGGCGTGCCAACACAATTTGCGATTGTCCACCGATATACTTTTACAAGTTAAATACGTTTTGTAAATATACAGAGTCCCGCCTTCCCGATTTTTAAAATAACAAATACATGTGTATCTATACCAAGTGTGAAAACGATATATTTCGTTCTTATATTTTATTGATTATTGTTTAAAATATCAGTTATATTTTATTTAGGCCAATACTGTATTATGTTACTATATTATTAGGTATAGTCTATAGGTCTACACCGTCTTGTCTGGCATAGCCAACATTGGGAAAAACACATTAACAATAATTGACATTGAATTTGCTCATGTAAATGACATAATAAGTAATTACTTTCTGGCCTACTGTATTTCCCCTCTTACTTACTAAACAGCTACCACATGAATATACTAGGAACATGTTGATTGATGTTTACTTTTATGCAAAAGAGGCGGCCCAAATGATAGTGAGGGATGATTGACGAAAAACTTGGCCCAAGGTCTACACGGTCAATTTGTCTGCTGACAAACATTTTTGATTTTCCCATATGTGGAATTGATGATGTCATAATACCATACCCATATTAAGTCAAAACCAGGCAATTGTCACATAAAACATAATATTGTAGACGAAGGTTTTACTTTAAAACATAAGACACACAAGCCTTTATTACATTTGACTACTGTTTACTGAATTACGCTGGCATAAATAAGAACGAAATTTATACTATATTTTATCACGATCAATATGACTTAATGGGCCTGTTACGGGAACTGTAAACAAATATTAGGCCTAATGGCTCGTGTAGTTATCGTTGCTAATTCAAGTTATCTGTTGTTATCAATACTGTCACAGTTTTTACTATGTACAGTATGTGATACAGTTAATACCGGCAAATACAACTACTATTGTGAAGTCTGTATCTTCATTGATAAGACATTTTAACAGCGGCTTATTTACAGCGCGGACGGTACCTTTTAGGCTGGTGTTTTTAGATAGTCTGTTTTTAGTTTGCGACGTATCCACAACCTCCATGGGGGATACAAAGATACAGTAGTTCTATTCATTGTAGCTTGTTGAGTAGCAATGAATTAAAGCAAACTATATCGTTTGACGCCATTATTGTTGGGAAATGCTAAAAAAACAACTCATCACTGCAAATTATGATTATGCAAAGTAGGCTTCTTTTTACCACATTATTCTCTTGATAAAAATTAGCACTCTGATAATAATCAAAAAGTTCTACTGTACTATATTGGCAGATCATTACAATCTTCACTTTGTATGAGACTTATGATTTACCTATTTATGCTGTTTACGCACAAGCTGGTTTTAATTTTCTACAGAAACTTGTTAACCGGCTGCTATTATACACGAAAATTGCCACAGGAATAGCAATCCCTATCCATAATTTAAAATTAATTTAATTTCAACGCTGTAGTATTTTACTTCCGATAGCTTTATATCGTCTACTGCTGGTACTGCTCATATAAGTACCATAGTTCAAATAAAACATTAAATCGTAAACAATAATTATTATGTAAATGTCGTATGTCACCCACGATATTTCGTTTTAAAACTGTCAACAAATTTTTATACTGTTATGAATAAATGCAATATATTTTTTCATTGTACAATTGCCTGTAACGGTGCTGAATTATTTCATGTGAGAATAATCGGATTGGTCTGGTGTAACGCTCACACCGTCTTTATTAATCTAAAGACATTATCCGCATCACCGGTTCGTTTTTGTGTGCGTGATTTTTGGAGAAAAAATCAAGTAGGCCTACCAAATCGCCAAGGCCAGAACTTGTTTCTGTGTATTCTTTGATGAATTTTAAATGTGTGTTATAACAATACTACATTTTAAGTTAATATTTATTTAAGTATATACAACGAGTTGTCTTAAAATACATAATTCCAAATATATTAAAATGATAGTAAATCCTACGAACTGTAAAATTAACGGTTCAATCGAGATAAGATGTAACATTTAGGAAAGGTTTCTGTTTCGAATATGCCTACCAACATTCGTTTGCGGAGGATCGGTATGTCCACCCGCGGAGCTACCGGAGGATACGTTGAACTTTATAGCTTTCAACTCAATGGTTTTGTTAAGATACTGTGTTCTTAACTTACAGTCTGAAATAGTCGATAGTGAGTCAATCTTAAAGGGACTATCCATATTTTCCAACATTATCAAAAGATTACAAAAAAACACTTTAAGAAGGAGTGGTGGGGAGGGGGGCGGGATGGGTGTTAGTACAAAAATACGCTTAAAGAGGGAGTTGGGGTGTTGAAAGTACAGGGATAAATGCTTTTTTATGAAAAATATGATGACCTCAAAATTACACAAATGAACATTCTTATTGTGTACCAGTCTCTTTCAGAGGGAGAGGGGTCAAGAAAGGAGTATGTTTCGTACTCTTATTACAATTATGGATGACCTCTAAATCTAAAATCTTTTAGGTCTCCGTGTAATGTACTGTCAAAACTTCCAATAAGACATAATCAAAAACAATTCCGCTTTCGTTTAGTTACCAATCGCATCCTTTAAAATTGAATTGTTAATATGCGTCTGTTAATACTCACGAAAATACTCAATTGTAAAACCATGCGCTGTCTTATGTCAAAGTCTGTGATTGAAATATTAATTTATAGGCAATGTAAACAACATAATAATGTGTCTTGGAAAAATCAGTTGTACAACATATCATTTTTCTCTCTCTCTCCGGAGGCTGGCTTTAATTCGAAAACATAGAAGTATCATCGAATGAAAATAACCTGGATGATATCGTCAGCTTTCTTTGAATTGATTACTGATTAGGACTGTCGCGGATTGTAGCTCCATGGGCCTGCTAAACGGCTTATCGATTCAACTTAATGCGGACTGAATTGCCAGAATTTCACATGTTAAAACGATAGGCTCTGCGGTCATCGCCCTTTTATCTAAAATACAATTGTGCTGATGTAAGCAGGGAACTGCTCCCTAGGTACACCATATGTACACCATAAGCTTTATGTCGATTCATAGTAAATTCCTACTGAATCGGTATTCTCATCATATCAAGTTTATTTCTTCTTAACTCTCAATGTTTATCAAAAGGGGGCATTGGTTTGCCAAGAATACCCAAAACAGAAAATCTGTGTTTACATTGATATATATTAATATCAATCAGTGGCGGCGCCAGCGGGGGGCAGGGGGCTTAATCCCCCAACTGGACAGGTCAACCACCCCCCATCCGCCGGACAGAGCTCGTCGGGCAGTCAGACCATATAACATATAAAAATAGGCCCCCACCAAGCACATGTCTGTCACAGTCTGAGAGTGCCATTTTCGGCCATGGGAGGGGGAACCTCCTCTCAACCCCTTTCTCCAGCTCGAGCCTACGAGCTCAAGTTCCCCTGTCGGGACAACTTAGCCCCCTCAGAAAATATATCCTAGAGCCGCCACTGGAATCAATACAGTATGTAAAAATACAAAAACGTCTTCACAGATTTCATTCGTGAGTAGGGTACGCAAAGGTTAACAAGTATGCCAACACTGATAAGCAACGTCCAATCTGGCGTGTCATACCTATCCGATTAAGAACGCAGGAATTGGGTAAGAATATATAAAAGAAGATATATTTTAATATATATACCAAATTTCGAAATTTCACACTTTAAGCACTATATATATATATATATACTGTCTCTTATACACATCTAGATGTGTATAAGAGACAGATAATGTGTCTTGGAAATCTGTCTCTTATACACATCTAGATGTGTATAAGAGACAGGCATTAAGCCTAATGAAAAAGTACAGTAGGCCTACCGTAATAAAAAAAAAACAAAAAAAAAAGCAAAAAAAAAAAAAAAATAATAAAACAAAAATGTGTACAAAAAAAAAAAGCAAAAAAAAAAAAAAATCAGTATTTTAAACCACAGGACGAATTGCAAGAGAATGCAACGCGATACAAATTAGTCTTGTAAAAATACATGTTAAAAACAATGTCTGCAAAATACATTATACACGGGGTCAAGTGTATACATGCACTTTCATTACCGTCCTTCATTAAAGGAAGTCGGTACCACACAAAGGCAGTAAATGTTTAGTGGTTGAGTTTACAATGACTTTTATTACAAGTCGTGCCAGGTCGAGCGACAAAGAAATAGAATACTGAGTACTACCGGTAACGTTTGTTGTGTTTGTATACAGTACTACTGTATTACCTTATCTCGGAATATAAGCCTCCCTATATATGTATAGGAAGCCAGGCATGGTTAAAGGCAGTGGCGGATATGTGAATTATAAGCAGAGGAGAACCGAACTGGAATTTTACGGACAGAGTGCCCAGGCTACCTCTGTCCCACCATGGGCGGGGCTGAGGTACGAAATTGTTATGTCATATATGGCACATCTTATGACCGAAAACACACTCTCAAACTTCAATTTGAATGCAATTTTCTTATCTCCCATATTTTTGTTTTTATTTGTTAAGATGTTACGGAGTACGTGTCTGCTGAGCTAATGTGGTAACATTTAACAATTATAACCAGAGTTTGCGCCAGAAATTTGCCGACAAGTGGTCGGGCGTTCGCGACGGATGGGTCCGAACAAAGGGCAGACTAGAGTCTCGGTCAGCGGTCCGAAATAAAAACAATCCCTGGTATGGGTTCACGGGGAGAGCTTTATGGCTTAGTATGGTAAAAAATGTGCTTTTTTAACGTCATTTTTTATTATTTGGATAGGCAAATTATTATTAGTTTTATTTTTGCTACGACGACCCAGTCGTGGCGTTGGACGACAGGGTGTCCAGGCTGGTTCGACGGGGTGGAACATTCCCCATTCTCCTCACCTTTGCTGGCGCCACTGAGCCACAAATCGGAAAATTAAACAATTTTAAATCCATAGGCCTATGTATACAACAAAGTATATTGTGCGTCGTTTGATTGGTGAATAATGTTTTCGCTTTTAAATTTTCAATGGAAACCTATAATACAGTAACCAATGTGAATGTTCATTTTCGTCATCATTAACGGAAAATGACCGACGCATAAACATAACTAAACCTATATACCGACCATTGTGTATTTATTACGCACCAAAAATCGTCATGAAAAATCTATCAAAGGAAAATGGGAATAACAACCACACTACTTAACAATGGTAATCATAAGTACAGTATAAGCATTTTGGCAAAGAATGGAATTTGTGAAAAGAGTTTAAGTTCACGTGGGTTACGTCATCGATTACTGGTGCGGTAATCGTTTAAACCATGGAGAAAAAAATATATAATTTTTTTCCTCTATGTTTAAACATAAGGAACAATAAATCGTCCATTGCAATAATAATACTACGGTGAAAAAGTGGGATTTAATTCAAAGGAGGCCCGTATTACTTGGACGAAATTACACAAACTAGGGGCCTATGCGTATCATTTTAATGCCTTATTAACTAATTGCTATTTATTGTTATTTTAAATGCTTAGCCCTATTATATTTATTTATTTATAAGAGGTTAAATTTCCTTATTGTCTAATTGCAAATAATTTTAAATTGTATATCTGTATTGTTTTTAATGAATGAAGAGTAAATTGAATAATTAAATTGATGGAATAAAACGAATGAATACAAACGAAAACAAAGTAGGCGTATATAAACGATTATTGGAAATGAAAATATTTAATGATCTTCTGTCAAGAAGATTTAGAGATCTTCTCAAACGATATTTATTTAGTGCTGAGTTGCAAAAGATTAGCTTTGAATTTCCTGAAGGGAAAACAGAAAAACAATTATGTCACCAATAATTCTGTCAGCAACTGACTGCTTGCGGGATCCTAAATCTCGACAGAGTGGTGGGTGCACTTAATGTTATTCGCTCAGGTGTGATTAGCCTAATTTGTAATGATTTCTTCGACATATTAATGTGTTAGTAAACCTGGTCCCCATTACAGTGTGAATAATTACTATAAATAATAAGCACAATGCACTGTGTATTGATCGGTAAACCTGGTGTTCTTAAATCAGCCTATATTAAAGATTCAACCAATGAAATTGTTCAATATCTCAGGCCCTAACGTCGTTATGACACGTTGACAAATGAACAGTTACATTAATAAGTATATATATATATATATATATATATATATTTAAATATACATATTTATATATATTTATATATATATTATATAATAGTTTGTAATCATTAATTTGTATATGATTAGTAATGATACAGTAATATGTATATACATTATAGGCCCATTAATAACAGGCTTAATATTACTAATCATTTCTGTGAAATACTAGTATACAAAATATACGATTGATGTAATAATCTATAATGGTAACTAATAGCCCTTCAGCGTAGTTTGTGAAGATAATTATGAAAAATACGCAACTGTGTAAAAACAACATTGATGTTCGTGTAGATTGACAATGTTTTCGTTCAAAATCCATTACTTCTACTCGCTGCGAGATGATATTCTACTACTAAAATGCATTCACGTAAATAATCATATGCTTTTTGATTGAATGTCTTGTCAAAATGAGGAATATCGATTTCACCGGCTGCTCACTTTGACAAGAGTGTGATTTAGATCCCCGTCTAATATCACTAAAATGAACTACCAATCAAATAATAAAAACTATCAACACTAAAGTGCTTCATGAGAATGTTTCTGCGAACGGTTACGTAATAATATGCGCCACCAACCGTAAATGATCTGTCCATCTTCATCGTGTTCACCTAACAGAAAAAATACCGCTACGGAATGGCATAAATTGTAATTTATAGGATTCCCATCACTAAGTTTGTAACAACAATGAATTATAAAATACAATATTATTAGTTGACGTGGTATAGATTTCTGATATTATTACGGTTTTGGTTTTGTAGTGACTCGGGAAGTTCTCGATTAAGATTCATTTTTTTTTTTTTTATTAAATTGAAAACCAAATACACTCTAAAAAACATAAGCTTTCCACACCAGCAATCGGACCCGATCGGAGGCAGTGAGGGAACCATATTATAACTATCGTTTCAATTGTAAATTTAGATTATCTTCTTCTAATTTCACTAAATATTCATTAAATATACGTCATTAATCGATGTGTGATGCTTAACATAGCAAAGGAAGCTATAAACTTGAAAGTGGTTCAGAGATACAGATTTTTGAATACTAATATTTAAAAATTGTGAGGGAAAGAGAAGAAAAAAAGGTAGCATCGCCTCTTTTCCCCCAGTTTTTAAATATTCAAAAATATGTATCTCAAACCACTTTTCCAGTTTTTCGTCAAATATGGTTTTTGTGTCTTGGAAAAATAAGTTTTTTGCTTTTCCTCCAGGGCCTGCTCTCGAGTGCTATCACCCTTATGTTGCCAGACTTTTTAGAGAAGTATAAATGTATCTTGATAGTATGTGGGGGTAAGGACCTCACGATGATGCAGCCTTGAAATTCACTTTTCGGTCAGTTGTCCAGTTTCTATATTAGCCAACGCCGGTAATATTAACTCCTTGGGCAAGCGTAGTCCTAACCAAGCTCCAAAAGCATTGAATATTTAATAACTGGGGAAAGTGGGCGTGACCACCCCTTTTCACCCGGTTTTTAAAATTAAAAAATCTGTATCTCATCATGGAGGTATAACATCTCATTAACCGCTTCCGAGATTTTCGTCAATTTTTTTTTCTTGGAATTTTTTTCCTCCGAAGCCTGTCTTTAAGTTGTTATCCCGTCGTGCGTGTAAAAGTCCACAAAACACCCGATTCTCATCCTCTCGCGTCTAAATCTTTAGTTACAATTTGTTAGTGAAATTGATGATTCCGAAGCCCGTGTCTACATTACAGTAAATATTTTATGAAACACATAAACTCGACAAAGCGGAACTGTGATGTCTACGTCTGCAAGTTAAACACAACTACAGTATATATTCGCGATAACTTGTTTATCGCATTAAATTCAAGGCCCACTTTTATTATTTTAGATTCTTATCTGTTTGTATTGGTGTGAATCAAGCCTAGCGTGAACGAAAAAAAATCGTCGAAAGATTAATTTTCAATTAGCGAAGCTGTACCGGTGTGTATTTTGATCATAGAGCAAAGAAACAGTCAATTGTGTATTACACGTGTTTGTAAGGTCTTGTTGGGGCGTTAATATGAATTATATACCATGGCTTGTGTTCTCCATATTTAAGGAAGCCTGTGGGTATTTCGACAGTTTTTCTTCTTAAGTGAAAATGATCTTAAAAGAAAGCTATTGTGTAACTTTCGTAACGTATGAGCAATGCCGTTGAAAACAATATGAACCTAAATGTTTTTAAATTAATTTAAAATGACTGGATATCCGAATGAAATAATCATAGTGTAAATACTATGCATTGAATTACTCTAATATTAAAATAAAAATGTAGGCCTATATGTATATATAAATCACAGCAAATCGTCGCAGTTTGGAATTGTAATTTATATGCATGAAGCAGTACAGTATTATTAATATGCTAAGATAATAAATAAAGAATGTCTAATAATATTATTTATTAATAACAATACACTTGTAGTTTTTTTTATTTGTCCTCGCGACAAATTTTAAAAGGAATAAAGTATCTCCTGTAGTATACATACGCCATTACATATCTCAATACGATTGGAGGCAGATTTTATGCAGGTGATTTTTCTCATATAAAACGTATCCTGTTTTGTCATTAAAACTATTCTAAAAAACTGTGAAACACAAGGACTGTAGTCAATTTGTCTTTATATTTATTATAAAAACGACAAGATTTGTTGGTAATCCTTTATTTAAAGTCTAAGGAAGATTGGAGATTAGGCCTACAGTACTTCTTAAAAAAAATAGGTACATAAAAGGATGAAGAATTTAAGTTGAGCCAACCCAAAAAATTGATAGCATAAGATGTAGTATGTCACAACATACTTTTTCCTTTGTTGATGACCATTATGTTCAAAAACAAATACATAACAAATACATTTCAAATATATTTATTCACTGGGTAATATGGGTTTGTTTCTGGATGTTTCTTTTTAAATAAATCTATAAACATATGCTGTGATACAAAATTTAACTTGCCATTTTAATGTACTAATGTCAGGCGCATAATATATCTCTAGTCAACTTGTCCATTTGAGTAATAGAGACTGTTCTATTTTCTCTATGATTTGAGTAATAGAGGTATTTGACGAGACATCAGGCCAGAGGTGGATTGAGGCCCAAATAATTACCAGTCCAGTAACTAAACTAGGGGGAAAGTGGGCTGCGGGGAGTGCACGTTCCAACACTATTGGTTTTAGACACTAAACAACCACCATTTTTTCTTCAAAAATGGTGCCATATATCAAAGGGGCATCTTTTCGGGGAGACTTGGGACCCCGCTTTCTTGTACTTCACCTTCGGAGTAGTTCTCGTCTCTACTCTTTCAATACCACATTTGGAAATTTACCTTTTATTTCTTTGCTCAAGTACATCATTCATATGTTATTCCAATTATACCTAAAAAAAAAAATTGTTTGTTTGCCCTCCAGCATCCGCTCCTAGCTCACGGAAAAATAGGGGTGGCGTTTAAAAAACATTTTTTTTTTCCCCCCGATTTTTTTGTTTACAAATAATTGTTCATATCCACATTTATAATGCATTTATAAATAAAAGTTTTATTATATTTCCCATTTTTACTTTTTATAAACATTAAAAAGACTTACCCAATACATTATAATCTCATTATGAGTCTTGTAGTGAGTGCAGTTATTTCAGTATTTATGAAAAAAATCCTGGCAGGGCTGTAAAAAAGTTGGTGGTCCTGGGTTCTTGAGTATTTTAGAGCTAGGCTAGCAAAAAATACATTAAAACTAGACCAACATTCAGTAGCTGATATAAGGACTAGCAATTATTTTGGAAAAACTAGACCTTAGTCCAGCAAGAAAAAAAATTAACTTTTTAAGGCTCTGCCTGGTAATTGCAGGATTTGCACCCAGCATTCAGGTACTAGAAAACAAGCACCTTAATTGAAAAACTACCCCAAACCAAAGCTCATAGCTTGCTCCTTGATATGTGTAATGGTTCAAGTATGTCTAAAACTTGCTTGGATGCATCTATGTGTTTGTGTTCAACGTAAGCCTGACTGTTAGCTCTAGTCTTATCCAAGAAGTATCTATAATTTACCATCAAGCCACAAGAGGCAGCCAGACCCCTACTACTGGTATCACCAAGCCAATTTATACGCCACATCGTAGCACCATTCCTTAAATGGAAATTGGCTGAAAAAGAAGGTTAAAGGTTAAGCAAAATACGAAGGTCTCTATGCGCAAAAAAATTGACAAAGCAAAAGGGAGGTGCTGGATAGATTGACTGACTGATTGAATTTATTAAAACACGAACTATTAATTAATTAGCATCAGGAACGCCCATTAGGCCAGAGTCAAGCTCATTCCCAATGGGTTCATTACATAACGTTTATAATACATTTCTGTGAACAAACGCAGGGACATGGATTCAAAATATTATGAAAGTGTTGGTCTATCTTGGTGTGGAGCTTTGGCTTGGTGGTTAATAAGCTCACCTTCTAATTTCAAACTCCTGGGTTCAATTCAGTTAATTTTCATCGTTTTAACTCCATTCCCCAAGGTGCATAATTTACAGGCACTTGCCTAATTCAAGGACCTCAATTATCAGAATTTTGAACTGTATACTGCATTAAACAAATTTATTACATACAGTAATTAACAATTAACACAGCCTTGAATCATTGCTACAAGGTAGTTTTGAACATTGAGATGATCAGAGTGAAATGTGTCAAGCGTGAACACATCATTCGCTAATTTTGTCATGTGGGAATCCTGTAAAAACCACCTTAAGTTAAACCAACACAAAGTTTTGAACTCTGTTCCAAGGTTTTGCAACATCACTAAATTAAGGATATTATATAAAACCTATTCAGTGACTTTAACATTCTTTCCGAACTCATACACAATTTCCTAAATCTTTTATTTTAACATAAAAAAGAAAGGAAAGAGTAGACTAGGCCCAGCCTAGAAAAGCACAACACAAAAAGGAACTCATTTTTCCGGGATTCTATGCGACGTCATGATCATCCGACTTTAATGCATTGCTCTCAATGTAGATTTAAGCCTGGTTCTAACGAGAGCCCTAGTATGCGGAGCGGGAGCTAACTGTTAGCGCTAACCGTTAGCACCTGCGTCAGAACGCCCAATCGGTTAGCGCTAACCGTTAGCGGTACCCGGATATGCTAACAGTTAGCAAGCGTTATCGGTTAGCAAGTTGAGGCCGTTTCTATCATCAACCAATCACACGTACGCGTTTACAATTTCCAGTTTCTTATTCGCCAATGATTCGATCATCATATTGTTGGTATCCGGATCGGGATTTCCTCGCATGGACGCACGGCAGCTAACGGTTAGCAGTGTGAGAACATAGCCTTAGTTTATCTGAACAATAATTAGGTCAACAATATGTGTGAACACACACAGCCTGCTGGTATCCATCAATTATCATACACACAGCATAGCTTTATCATGTGTTTGGTAGTATGAAAATATAGTAGATTGTATTATTATTAGTATTATTATTATTATTATTATTATTATTATCATGTTTAATAAGTAAATAGTTGCAAACTTACCAACAGGGTTGACTGCATAGCCTCTGTGCTTCTCTTCATACAAGTATCTGGGGATCAAAGTTCAAATGTCAAATGTTGCCAAATTAATTTGTTTCCAGAATTGTCACAAATAATTGTGGAAAGAACATGCCTCTGTAAGGAATTTCTACTGCACATTACTCCTTTCCACCAAGAAGAGTTATCTGGTAAAACATAATGGATTAGTATGTGTACAGATAATTGCTAAAATTATCTGAAATACTCCCCATTGTGCTTAACTAACTTTGAACGAGAAAACTATGCGAACACCTTGTGTCTCTTTGAAAAATTTTTGCCGTTTGCGTTTTCACGAAGCACATATTTTGTGTTCTTCTTGTTGGAACACAACATAAGATGAGTGGTGACTGGTGACACGTGACGTTATTAAAAAATTATTATTATCATCAACTTATATCTTTTATTGTTTTCCTCAAGTTTATGACATCTCTCTATTTAAGAGAAATGTGAATTCTTTTCTTTTGCTCCACTGAGCGCTTGATTTCTAGCCCATTTCCTAGAGTGGCTGTTTTTATTTTTTTTTATTTTGGGCAATTTCCCATAGAAAAAAAAACCAAAATCAAATACTGTCGCCATCACAATAAATAACATCAAATAATTAGGTTAGCCCTGCCTATTTCTATTAACATTTCTTTTGAAAAGTCGGAGATTAACAAATTTTTTTAATTTGTGTCATTTTGTTATTTACTGCTTGAATTCATTATTGAATTTTGTGTTATGAGCTTTACAAATTGATTGAAGGTATACATAATTGCTGGTCACGAATAACAAGGGAAAGAACAATTAGATTTCAATTAAATAAATCAATTAACAAAGAAGTTTAAATATTATATGTCTCTAGAGATACGATATTATCTTAATGAAGAGAAAATGTGGAGAATAATTAAAAGAAAGGCTAGCAATCAGCTACTGAAAGAACTTGCTCATTTAGGTCAACTGTAGGATTTAAACAGATAAATCTAGACAAACCAGTGGCATATATATTTAAGTAAGGTAGACTTTGCATGTTATTAATTGTACTTGTATTAATGTCACAATTTTAGCTCAAAGGTTACATAATACAATATTTTTTTTTTGGAAGTAGTGACATAATAATACAGAATTTTCATGAAAAAATTAATCATTATTATGATAAGTATTACCAGTGAAATTACACTGTTCCCTGGTATTACTGCGATGGTTTTCAGTTCTTCAGCTGTAGTCTGTTTGGTTTTTTTTTTCCCTTGATAAATTCGACTTATAAGACTTCTTTTGATAATTTCGAAAGTGCTCAAAGAGGCATATAGAGCAACATACCAAATACATAATTTTTATATTAATAATAGTAATAATATTAACTATAACAATACATTGTTAACAACAATAAAATTTAAACACTATAAGGTGCTGTCCGCTGCATAGCTGCTCCTCTTCATATCACACTCAAATCAACTTATTTTGTGACCTTGCGCCCCTCATTTAGTGACCAAGCCGCCCATCTCCACCTTTGCTCCCCTCCCCCGACACTTCATTTCAAGATTCCTAGATACACCACTGGAATAAATCAAGACTGATAAGGAACAAATAACCATGTACTTTATGATATACAAAATGTAGGGGGTTACCCCAGTGAACTGGTCCATTAAGTCCCCTGTTGTTAAATGGATATACCACGAAGGACAGTGATTAAGTTCACTTATTGGCATATCCTTGGTGCTCGTGCCTAAAATAAAATTTGGTTTTACCTAGCACACAGTCTGCATAGCGGTGGTTTGAGGGCGCCTGTTAATGATTCAGATTCACTCCATGAATTTGAGTGAATAAGTTCCTTCACTTGTGCTACAACATCTTCTCGTTTGCTAGCTAAATGTTGCTGGAGTACACTCAGCTCGTCCTGTAAAAACAACTTTTCTGTTGACCCTATCAGATGAAAAAATGTCACAAAAACATTAACAATGTACTGTCTGTGCTTAAGCTATTAAAATACAATACTAATTAGTTTATTTAACATTCAAATGAAAACTAAAATAGCAAATAAAATGATTTTAATATACCATTACTTAACTTATATTTGGCTAATGAGAAACAGTTTAAGTGTTTTATATGTTAGATATAACTTATTGATTGATTTTATAATCTATACTTAATTGTTCATATTGGATTTTTTTAAATTTTTTAAATTTTCTAACACAAAACAACATCAAAATACATATGACATTGAAAATTAATTGTAAATTAGATTATCTAATGGGATCATACTACTTTCCCTGAATTAGACGTTACATTTAGATAAGAAAATCAACACACCTCGAATTTGCTTATTGATTTCTTGTAGCAGCCAATCTCGGAACCCTGGAATTGGTGACAAACTGGAGAAGATGTTCATATTTGGGAACTCGGCTCGCAGTTTTTGAACTGCTGTTTTGATGAGGTAGTTGCCAAGGTCAATACCTTGTAGTCCTATAAAATACATACAATTAAAAAAAATAGTAATCAACTACTTGTAACTACTTGAGTGTGAAACAAACTACAACTGATAAATTATAATAGTCATATTTTAAGTGGTGTCCTCCTAATAAAATTGACACACACACACACAGATGTTTGCTCTTTTTAGCTCTGATGAGGAGCTCTAGAAACACTTGGTTGATTGATTAATAGATCTTATTTAGCTCTACTGCCTCTATTATACTGCCCTCATGAGGCTGATTGATTAATATATCATTTTTAGCACTATTGTCTGTATTTTACTGCCTCCATAAAGAGCTCTAGAAATACTTGGCTGATTGATTAATAGTTGATTGATTAATAGATCTTTTTGAGATCTACTGCCTCTTCTTTACTGCCCTCATGAGGAGCTCTAGAAACACTTGACTGATTGATTAATAGTTGATTGATTAATAGATCTTTTTTAGCTCTGCTGCCTCTACTATACTGCCCTCATGAGGAGCTCTAGAAACACTTGACTGATTGATTAATAGTTGATTGATTAATAGATCTTTTTGAGATCTACTGCCTCTTCTTTACTGCCCTCATGAGGAGCTCTAGAAACACTTGACTGATCTGTCTCTTATACACATCTAGATGTGTATAAGAGACAGCAGCAGAATCTAATGTATTTAATCAGTTGTTACCTCTTTGGGTTGAAGTAACAGAATAGAAAATGGCTGCATTAATTTTGCTAATATCTTCACTATCCACTGATGGAAGCACACCTTCAGTTTGTTTGACAAGAGACTAAAGAAAATACAAAAAAATATATGGTTTGATTATAGGTTTGAATGATTCTTTTGCATAGTAAATGCATACTTAAAAATTGGCAGAAACTAAATTTCCTTTATATGACTTTAAGGAAGTGGAGGTATTTTTAGTCATTCATTCATTTATTTTTTATTCAGCCAATAATATAAACAAGTGAATACAAAACAATTAAAGGTAACATAACAAATAATTGAGACAATAAATAAGTTGGCTAGGAAAAATACTTGAATATTACCTTTGGAAACTGGGACTGATGATGATGATGTTGATGATGATGATAATGGTGATGATGATATTACCACAATATGCTAAACCCTTAATGCAATATAGCCAAAAGCTTGGAAATTTAGAAAAATAATGTTGACATAATTGAGATCTAAATATATAATTGACTACAATTCACTTGGCCATTATTATGTGCATAAATGTACATGAATATAAATTATATAAATTAAATCATTTTTTTAATAGCATACCTGGATGTTGGTGCTAATGTCTTGAGTAAGTGCTGTGTGCAGGACTACCACAGGCTCTAGTGGCATGCTGTTGTGTGTGAAGACAAAACAACGTCGATAAGCACCAACTCTGCGCTTTAAGTCCAACCAGTTTTGTACTGGATGAACCGCCTCATACTCACTAACCTACATTACAAACAGAATCCAAATAAAGACGGTCAGGTGAGAAGGTCAATGGTCATTACACATGTGTGATAGATAATAATATGCATCTCTACCTATATTCATGATACTAGTATTAAAACATTACTTAACAAGCTTTATTGAGTGGATAAAAGTTTGATTATACAAATCAACTTGCTTCAGCAACATTGGCAGATAATACATCAACAAACATACAAGAAATGTGAATGTACTCCATTTTGGACATGAAATACAATATGAATCTATGCCGGTGCAAGGGAAGTAAAAGAATTTTTATTTTCAAAATATGAGTGTGAATAAAGTAGGTATCAGAAGAATCTCTGTTGGGAAACTTGATGTAATTGTGAGAAGGCTACACTTAAAAAAGAAAAAAATTGGAACAATGAATATACACTAGTTACTGCAATACATGCGGCGAAGACAAGCAAAGCCAGTCACTATTTACAAATCGTGTTTTGGAGATAATGGCCAACACATCTATTTTATTACACTAAACTTTATAATATCTATACATCATGCTATGTTTTTATTTTCCCAATTCAAATGTTAAATAAACATCATTTTTTTTTATTTGGTGATGGTCTCTGAATGAGAAATGACTAAAAGCATAAATTTTGAAGACTGATTTCTCAAATACTGTATGGTTAAACTTCATATCAGATTTAAATAATTTGTTTATTATTTCATACTGTAGCTTTCATTTTACTGAGTAAAACTGAATTAATAACTAAATCAATTGTTCTTTTATGCAAGGAGTAACTCGCTTGTCTTGATTGTACCACCACAAATGCTGAATGATTGTTTTAATATAAAGTATTTTTATTTCCATTTTATATTTTCAAATTTTCTTACCTTTTGTAGCATATCACATGAACTTTGCCACGTTATTCGCTGCAGATTTAGCAAGCCAGTAGAAAACCAGTGAACTAACAATCCACGAAGACTTGCATTCAGATGCCTTATTGGTTCAACTTCATTCGGGTTTAAAGATGTAGAAAGTAAATCCTGTTAAAAAACAGAAAAAAAAAACTACATGAAATTACAGTATCGGTAAAACATAGGTGCCAAATGATCTGTGAGGTCCTCTGGGAAATTGTATTGGTCCTACAAATTTATGTTTGCATGTTCTGACTACTGAATTATTAATTGACAGATAGCCATGCAAGCCACATGCACTGAAAAGTATGTAAAGAAAGCTTAATAAAAACCAGATCTCCACAGAAGTGGCCCTCCCAACCTAACAAACTTGGGGCATTGAAACGCATCCATGAATACTTTAACATGGCGAAGGTCATGTGACAGATGTTTTTTTCAATGACGTTTGTCTTAGACTGCCGCTGACAATCAACAAATGCTGTTTAATGGTCAAGCAGCCATTAAGAATGAGGCTGAATTTGATATGTAAGCCGCCTGTCAGTTGAAGTGGTGTGTGCCCGACTTTATAGTTCATCTATAGACTTTTTTGTTTTGGTTTTCTATCAGCATGTGCTACATAAACACCTGCAATTATGGTTCAAACCAAAGCTACTCCTTCACTCTCCGATTGATTGTAACATTGAGCAACTACCGTATTAAATTCTATTAAATTCATTTTTTTTTAAAAACATTTAAAAAAAATGTGGCTTGATATTTTGGCTGAATGTACAGTACGATATTTCATGGTAACTAAAACACTACATAATTTAACAGAGAGTTTAAATGAATGTCTTTGAGAAATTCAAATAATAATCATTTAAAAAAATGATTTAAAAACAAAATAATAATAAAATAATAAGTGTAATAATTATAATACATACCAAGATGTTGCTTCTCATGTCCACTAGAAACTTTACACCATATGCGGTGCGACTGATCATCGTAAAGAGGTGGGTATACTGCGGAGAAAGCGACTGTTGCAATCGGTGTTCATATGTGAAAATTGCCGGCTCATCCTGTAAAGTAAGAGTACGGAGATGATGGTAAAGCATACCGTTAAAATTTGCGAACGTATAGTAGCACTGTACAAGCACATGAACTGTACATGTACCAAGGAGAGGGTTGGGTTGCTATTCTATGGATGAAACTCACCAATTACATTTATAGAATTCATCAGTAAAAAGGGCCTGCACCTGTGACCCTAGCAGCAACAGCTCTTTTTCTGGACCTCACCAGGATGCCTCGTTCCCCTGGACTTCTGGCACTCATATAACCCCTTAAAAACCTGCTTTCAGGCCTGTTCCAGGGTATATATTCTAAATATTTCAATATGCTAGGTTATACCTTTGCAGCTATTAGTGCTGAGGCTGCAGATACAGCATCTGCATGATTCACTCCGCACCTTTTAGACAAAAACAACAAGACTTCAGATTTCTCTTTCACTGACAACTTCTGATATTGTTGACAAAATTGGGTGACTTGTTCCTGTGCCATTCAAGAGGTGAAACAGAGAAAATTCACCAGTTAAAATCTGATATTATTGGGTGGATAATTCAAATTAGAACTCAGATTAGTCTGTTGAGTTTGAGGACCATTCATTTGCTGCGTACATGCCACTTAACAAACTCAATGTACAGCTCTAAAATTATATGTTTTTATATTTTAGAATGATGACATAAAAATGAAAAATTAAGTTAATTTTATGAAATTACTGGCAAAGTGTTGACAAATAAAGGAGTTTCCAACAATATTGACAATAATGATATGTTGGTTGTTGGTTACCATGGTTATCCAAAATGGGTATGAATAAGGTATGAAATACAGTAATGGTTTTGGGTCTATTTGTCAAAAATGGTTATAAAATGACTCCAGGTGCTATGATATTCAAATTACTTTTAGGTGATATTAAGACTGTTATATAAATGTACTACCAGCTAATTTAAAGTGTATATGAACAAATATAGCAGAATGTCAAAAAGTTACAAAATAAATAATAGAACTTGCCTCTGAGACCCATGGCTGTTGTGAGCCAACAGCACGTTTACCTGAGCTGGTCACTTCAAATTCTCCTAGAATATTTGACATGATTCCGGTGAGGTTGGTTGAACTGGCTGATGATACCCTCTTAAAACAAACCCTTAGCATGCTCTTGCTGGAGTTAGTGCAGTGTCTGGCATTCTGTAAATGAAGATGAAGAAAGGAATAAGAACACTCATGAGCAACAAGAACACCATTCAAGCTCTTTTCACACTCATTTATAAAGTGCTATCTTGAAAAGAAGCCCACTGGCTTCTTTGTGAGATGGGTTTCTTTTTGAGGTTATTTTTGGAAACATGCGTTTGAGCATCTGAAGTAAACCGATACAGTACAGATCAATATATCTCCCGTGCAACAATTACACCTTAATTACGTCTCCGCATTTTGAAAAATAAAGACTGATTCTGTCCGCAGAGAGTTAGACCTTGGTCTAGTCTCAGTATACAATCAATGTATAGGCCTAGCAGTAATTATGGTTCTGCACACCTTTTTTAAATGCGATTTTTTTTCGATGCACATGAATTGGTGTTAGACAAATCATGTGTCTGCGAAAATAAAATACAAATACAAATATGGCAATAAAAATATCTTGGTTAAGAATTGTCAACGGCGGAGCTTGTTATTTATAGTACCTACCTGGATCTACCTGGATTTTGAGACTTAAAGCTTAGAGCTTTTGTGCCTCTCTTGAATTGTTAAACATCTGCTTGGGCACGTACGGGCTGTATCTCAATGGATGGTCAGACCAGTGCTTTTTTAATTGAGACTTGAATTGGTTTACAGTATTTATTACATAACTGGGCAGCGAGTTCCAACAATTTATACTTCTGATGGAGTAAACATTCTGTCTTGCTTTTGACTTTACATGTGGTATGTATTTTATATTGATGTCCTCTTGTAGACAATACTTCACTCATTGTGAACAATTTATTTACATCAACATTACCGATACCTCGCATTATTTTGAAGATTTGGATCATGTCGGCGCGTTGTCTTCTATACCGTAATGTTGGTAGTTTTAGATACTTCAATCTTTCCATATATTCAAGGTTACGTATAGTTGGTATAATTTTAGTAGCCCTCTGTTGGAGCTTTTCTAACATATCTTCATCTTTTATATGGGACTCCAAACTGAACGACAATATTCAAGAGATGGGCGGACTATACTTTTATATAGTTGAAGTAGGCTGAACTCATCCAAAGATGTAAATGTACAAAGCGTAAAGGTTACAAAGCGCTTTGTTCACATATTTAAGTGTTGCTACCATATTGGCACAGTAGCAGGTAACCCCGCTAGGCACCTATTTAAACGCCTGGTTGCAGAGAAGCAATGCAGATGAAGTGCCGGCGCTAATACGGTTTCACATCCGACCCTAAAGTTGATTACTAAATTATTTAAAACTTACAATTTAGTGGATAATATGAAAGTTAAATCATCAAAGAATATGTTAGTTTTGAATAAATTTAGTCATGCCTAACTAGTCGACGCGAGTGACTCAGTTTCGTGGCTCCAAAAATATAAACATTTGATTGGTTGAAATTGTTTATTTCGGTCCGCCCATTTATCCAAATACGGAATGTAAGATTAGGTCATTCTTTTGGCATCCTGGTGCCTGATTTCAGTGTTTTACAAGTCGCTTATTCCGTCTATCTCTAATAAGAGACTTGTGGCAAGTCTAGCCTAGGTCTAGCCCTAGATTAGCCTGGGCCTTAACTGCTAGGCCTGGTAGACGGATAGACCTCCATCTTAACCTGCTGGTCTCTGGTCTACCTTTTGTGAAATTAAGGCCTTTTTCACGAATCGGTAGACATCCTCCTGAAGTGATGGCAAACATTGCGAATCAGCGGTGCGTAACCAACAGTAATAAGATAAGCTTTTGGGCTGACTCACCATATGAGAGTTTCCTGGGTTAAAAACATGATTTACTATACTATACTTCTTTATAAAACATAACTTGTACTTTGAAATAAGAGAAATCTGTATAAATATCAGTAGGGCCTAGCTAGGGAAGGCCTACCTGGAACAGCAACAACACTAAAGTGCTATGCTACAATAATATATTGTCTACCTAACCTAACCTAGCATAGGTCTACTCCTAGCCCACTCTTGTAGCCTAGCCTAATACTACACTAGCTAGGCCTAGGAGGCCTAATAGTAGCCTGTAGTAGGCCTAGGCCTAGTCTAGAGTAGTAGGCGCCGCCGAGAAACTATGATGAATCCAGGCTAGGCCTAGCCTATATGGGCGGCAGCCTAGGCCTAAGATGTAAGCCCCATGGACATACTCTCTTACCCTCATTAAATATTTCATAAACCTAGAAGCCATCATCAGTTTATTAATTAGAGAGTTCACATCCACAGTACAGTATGACTGAGCTTCAACACTGCAAACACATCGCCATCCCCAGGTCCCCAGTTACCTTTCACCTTTTTGAAATTAGTTCTTCGGATATTCTGTGCCATGTGGCCTTGGCCTAGGTAGTTTTATTTCAATTTGACTACGATTATGATTATTTTTAGTTGTAAACAGAAATATAATATTTTATATTTTCAACAAAATACAATTTTATTTAGCCTATTTAGAATTCTTGCAATATATTTTTTTAATGAATTTTGTTATTAATTTTAAATACTTTATAGTAAATAATTATAGTCGTCTGCTTGTTTTTAGAAGTCTGTTTACAATAATTAGAAAAAAAAAACCGGATGGAAGTAGTTTACGGTGGTTAGCAAAAGGTGCGTAGGGCTAATTCCGAAGGCCTAATAATTTGTCCAAGCTGGTCCAAGTAAAGGTAGGGGATATCTCTTACTACAATTCAACAGAATTAGTTACAGTCACTTGGGCTATTATAGGGCCCTGGCCCTAGGCCTAGGCCTAGTTGCCAAAAAGGTAGAACTGACTGTTAAGAGCTCACTGCTCAGGCTGCTGCCTATTTTTTTTTTTAGTAGGCCTAGGCTGGGCCTAGCCTACTAGCCGAATTCGAGTCAACTCGGTCCCAAGTAAAAAAAAAAATCAAAATCAATTTTTAATGTTACATTTTATCTTAATAGGATGTTAATTGTGATGTGATGATTGAATAGCATTTCATTAAAAACAAGTTGGTGCACTTGCATTACAGTATGCTAGGCTAAATTCAACTTTAACTAGGCCTATTGTGGATTTGATGGATGGTGTAATGGACGAAAAAACATTTAACTTCAATTTTATCTTACACAGTTTACTGCTCATCCTACTCAATATGAATATTCATATTCGGAATTTTTTACACAATGAAAGACTTTTTTCTGGAGTAAGATATTTTTCGTTCTTGTCTTCACACTTACCTCTTAAATCAAGTCGTCTTACTTATCAGAAACGAATACATAAGACTTTAACAAATGCTGGTAGCAATTTCAACCATTATCGATATGCAAGTTTATTTTCATCTGGTGATACAAGTGCGTGGAACAGAGCCGTGGCCGAGGCAGAACGGTTGGTTGGTTATCCTACGTCGTTTTTGAGTCTGAGAACGCTGTTAAGTGATGAATTAGCAAACGTGGCACTACATGTTCGCAAATTAGTTGGAACAAATCATCCTATATTAAAAACGGCGAAGTAAGTGTGGAATAAAGAAGTTTGTGAACGACCGTAAGGCACGACTGAGCTTTGTAGGTTTTGGAAATCAGGTCCAACGTTTAAAGCTCTGTCCACACTGTATGCCCATATATAGTCATGATGTGCCTGTATATAGTCATGATGTGCCTATATATGGTCATTATGTGCCTATATATATGGTCATGATTTGCCTATATATATATATATATATATATATATATATATGGTCATGATGTGCCTATATATGGTCATGATGTGCTCATATGTAGTCATGATGTGCCTATATATGGTCATGATGTGCCCATATATAGTCATGATGTGCCCATATATAGTCATGATGTGCCTATATATGGTCATGATGTGCCTATATATGATCATGATGTGCCCATATGGTCATGATGTGCCTATATATGGTCATGATGTCATGTCACATGTTTTTGTCAAGCAAAATTTGATAGTCTGGATAGGAATTTAGGCACTAATGCACTTTAGTACTCCACATTAACCTCAACATTAAGATAGCAAGACTGGAGTTGAGGTTAAGGTTAGGGTGGTGCACTAAAGTGCATTAGTGCCAGGTTTTACAGGCAGTTTACTTTTTGTTGTATGTATTTCACTTTATTTGTTAAATTCACACAAAACAAGTTCCAATTCAAACAAATCCATTCATTAAAATGTTGAAATTTAAAAAAATAGTCCATTAAAATGTTTATATTATAAAAATATCTCTTCAAAATATCCCCTCCATCTGCATTTCATTTTTTTATTATGTGTTTATATTGCATTCTATATTGTTTTGTTTATTCCTTGTTTGTTTATCTCACAGGTCGTTTGTGTATGAAGGTAGTAATCTTCAGACAAGAGGTCTTGTAGTCCTCCTGGTGTCAAGGGCAGCTGGACTACCCTCTGTCACAGAAGAAAAGTCATTACTAGGCATTTACCAACGGTAAGCCATACTACTGTAGCTATGCAAATGCAAATTTTATAATTTAAATAGAAGTTAACTTGTACATGGAAGCAGTGATGGCCCAGAAGATAGAAGCATACATTTAGGGGGATAAACTGTCTAATCAGACCCTGACAACTCGCGTCGGAGACCAGTTAGGATCCAGGAGTTGAGCCCTGTCAGTGGTCCAGGGTGAAACTCTAGTGCCCAGAGAAACTGATCAATTTTAAGCTTTTCTGCAACATGTTAGAACATACAGAGTTTATTTCCAAAGAGATGTTTTCATGTTTTGCTTGATGTGTCAGCCGAAAAGGAGGAGGGCTGCTCTGTCTGACAGTGAAGCTTAAAACTCCTCCCTCACCCAATACCTCAATCACTACATAATCTGTGCCCTAAACCTTACACAAGTAAATATTCATTAATTTATAAATACATACTGTATTGGTAAAGATATAACAAATTATTTATTTGTGTTGCAGTCAGAGAGCCCTCGCTGAGATATCGGAGATGATACACACTGCCTATCTGGTCCATCGTGGTGTCATTGACCTGAAGGATATTAAACCCGGAGATGGTTCCCCGGAAGATCTTGAATTTGGCAACAAGATGTCAGTGCTAAGTGGTGACTTCCTTCTGGCTACTGCCAGCCAGGGTCTTGCAAAATTACATAATACAGAGGTGTGTAATCTTACTGTAAAATTATTATTATTGTATTCTATTACTTTTATACATCAATCCATGCATTCAACTATAACATCAGAACTCGCAAGTAAATGCGACCCTTATTTTGACCTTGATTTTTTTCAAAAGATAAATACCTACAAATGAGTGCCAAAATAACATTTCTTGTGATGTGGAAAACCTTTATAGACATGATGTTTTCATTGTATACAATTTCAAGATTTTCTTTTGCAAAATAACCTTACAAAATAACTCTAAGCTTTGAACTAGCATTGAAGTAAAAAGAACATTATGTGCATTATGCTTAAGGATCGTATAAACACTTGTCGGAAGTAACGCGCGCGTAAAATATTATGTTTGTGGTAACATTACTATTATTTAAAAAGTATCTTAGTTGTGTTTATTCATTCATCAGGTTGTTGAGCTTGTTTCATCTGCTATATCAGATTACACAGAATCCGAGTTCATGGGATTCTCCGTAGACACCATTAATCTGCAGCTGACCTTTGCTGATTGGCTGCATCATGTCTACTTATCCACCGGAAGTTTATTGGCTAAGAGTTGCCAGGCAGCACAGATTCTGGCCAATCACAGTGAAGATGTGCAAAATAAAGTATTTCAATTTGGAAAGTACTTATCAGTTGCACAACAAGTAAGACACTTCACTATATCAGAAATTCTATTTTACTTTACTTTTCATAATGTTTAAATTAATAATATAATACAATATATTAATACAAAAAATACATCAGTACACGTAAAACATAAAATTATTACAATTATTAATTAAACAAAAACCTTTTAATTTGCTTCATGGTTAATTCTGGATGCGGGTTTGTTTTGTAGGTTGTGCAATTTCTATGTGTTTTATGTTCTGTTTGTATTTTTCTTACTTTATTTTCTGAATATATTGAAATTGAAATTATAAATTCAGACCCTCCAATTAAAGACCAATTTTCTGTGGCTTTAAATTAATGAATGTTTATTATCTTTATTATTTTAATTAGAGACCAAAGCTACAAAAGTCCATGGAAGCCCTGGTCCCAAAAGTGGTCATTAATTGGAGGGAGACCTGTATTTATGAAAATGATACATTGAGTGGATTGATCAGTGTTGATATTACAATAATACATGACCTATGACCTTATATTTAACAACCTATTAACATTATCTTTTATACTTTTTATTGCTGTGATTTGGTTATTCCCATTTATTGAAATGTAATTATTTTTTTAGTGAACATTATAATTCAATATTTTTTTTAAAATCTGAGGCTTTGTCCAGAATATCAAATTTTATTTGACAAAAACATGTGACACGCCTAAATATTTTAATGATGTGATGTCATATATAGGCACATCATGACTATATATGGGCATACAACAGTTTTTTGTCAAAGAAACAACTTGATAGTGTAGCCAGAAATTAAGAGGTGATCCAAAAACAAGACATGATTCACACTACCGAATGTTATTATAGGATGCATGCTAAGAAAAGTTTAGCAATCACCCCTGCTACATTGTGTCCGTGTGAATACACGTCATGTGCCCTTATAAAATCTATGTGAAAGCAGAATTGCAGAGGGCACAGGGCAGGGCTTATCTTTTCACTGCGGCAGCCACATCATGCATCAATTTACAAACTTATAGAAAGTTTAGAATTTAGAAGTTAAATACAGTAATAATATAAATAATACTGTAATAATTTTATAATGTGTCTAATGAAAAAAATAACCTCAAAGCGCTGATAGCCTCAAAGAGTGAATAAGCATTTCTTTTCTTTTTTACTGATAACAATTTTGCTTTGGTCATCAGTTGAACCTTGACCTTCAGCCTTTCGTGAACGAATCATATGAGCTTGGTGACGCCTTCAATCTTTGTTCATCTGCCGTTCTGTTTCATATACAACACATTAGTCAGACGGGAGAGGTACTTCCCATGCTAACAGCCAGTAATACTGAGGACTATAGAAAGGTGGGATATTTTTGTATTTGCATAATCCATTGTTATATAAATTTATTGTATATTCCAACTGAAACAGTAGTACATTTAGTTGTTTAGAGAAAGCATCAAATTTAATTACCGGTATGCAGTAAATTGTGACTGTGTCAAAAACAAAACAAAATTTCTAAAAATAAAATGCCTCCAGGGCAAAGGTCAATGCCTCCGACCGCTGGTCATGCACTTTTTCCTGCCCTGATTAGGTACCCTACAGACATAGTCTGTGGTTAGCTAGAAAGAGTGAAAAATGCTTTGCACCTGTTAACGTATATCATTTCTATATATTATGTTCAACTCAATTGCATATTTGACAAAATCACTGTATATAAAATATACATACGTGCTTACAATTAATTGATATGAAGAAAACTTTCAATTTGCTGCTAGAAATTTTAAAGGTATATACAGTATAAGTACAAAAGGATTGGTATTGTTTAGCTGGCAGTATATTAAGCCCAACACAGACAGCGTTATACGACGCAGCCTGACGCGAGTTTGTGGTTTGCGTCATCAGAGAATACAGTATTAAACATGTAAACATAATATTCTCACGATGAACAAACAATAAACACGATGCTGTCTGAATTTGGCTTAAGACTGTACAGTCCTGTCAACCTCATTTTCATAGTTACTATATCTATATCAAATATTTCATTCTTCTTTTTCAGCTTTTTCAAGCTGTTGCTGCTGGGCCTGCTGTTGATAAAATGAAATCAGAACTCCAGCATTATGTGAAAGCATCGTTGGATTCAATCGAAGAATTTGACGAGTCCGAAGCCAAAGATGCCCTAAACAACATTGTCCATTCTTTATTAGAATTGTAATTTAATAATCAAGAGTTATATAAATTTTGTATAATACGCTATTTAAATATATTAGGATTATCAAATTTTTTGTACTGCAGCGATATTTGATATGTACAAAAGTTTAACCAACTACAGACTTAAATTGGTGTTTTCACTTGGTATGGCTCCACAAATAATAATGCACATAAGTTTTATTAATATTTATACAGTTGGTATTTTGTTTCAGTTTGGGTTAATACAGTACTAGCTTGTTGTATATCAGATATTCATTTTTATACACAACATTTTGTCTCACCAGAAAATAAATATTAAAATGGGGTCGAAGCAATTATTGACAGTGTAGATGTGGATTTAGTGTCATTCTTTTTATTCAAATATTCTACCTGGAAAATGATGTTTCCTTATTTATCACACCAAAAATCTAATGTCCTTAGACTTCAAAAGTACTACAAAACTGTTGAAAAATTTGTTTATGTTGGGATATGCCACTTAGAAAAGTGATCAAGTTCATTGTTTGGCATGTCCTTGGCCTTCGACCTAAATCCCTGGTTCTTAATAGGCGGCCCGCGGACCAAATTTGGCCCGTGAAGCCATTAAATTGGGTCTGTGTGAAAAACTGAAATTAAATATAAATAATAGAAAAGTAAATCATTCGATAAATAATTTTCGCATATAAGAGAATACATAAAGACAACCCCTGGGCCTTGTCCACTAACAATATTTAAGGAATGATCATGCGAGTGAACATTGCTCTTATTATCACACAGGAGATGAAAATTTGCACGTTAGGTTTGTATGCAAGCTTGTATCGAGTCTTTGAGTAGGGGAAAAATTGTTGAGATCTAAACAAACGACTGTCAACAAATGCCAAAGATTAGTAATGTTAAGTTCCAACTACACCTGAAAAAACAATGGAAGACTTGTTAATTGAGTAGATTCAAAATCTAGGTGGTTTGAGGATTTACTTTACAAAAAATAGCACTATGGCACTTGCCCCTGCTAATTTTGCCCAAGAATTTTGTTTCCACATGGGGATATTTTCCTCCTGGCTATTTGCCCCAAGAATTTTCTGATGTATTTTGCCTCCTGGTTTTTTTTCAACACTTCATTATACAAGGGAGTATATACGATTTGTTGTTTCCTCTGTATAACCTAATTCTTGTTTTGTCGTCGTAAGGTTACGCCATCAAGGTGTGCCGATGATACAAAAGCGTTATCCAACCAGTTAACGGATTGACTCTTGATGCATTCAAAATACCAAGAACATATTTTAGGAACGGTATTTTAAAAATGTTGCATCCAGGGTTCACAAAAGAAATACAGTAAAGGAAATAAAACAGGAAATCTCTAACATACTTTTCTTCTTTGGCCTATGAATATCACACCTATTTCCTGGTCATTCTATATATATATATATATATATATTTGGCTGCATCAGCTAATACTTCAGTAAGAAGCGGAAATATTATGTCTGGTAAGGAGCGGCAAAGGAAGGGTGTGATGATTATATTATTATCACGTTTGCTCTTCTACAATACTATTGCGCTCAGAGTGAACTTTAATGATACTATTCTACGATTGTTACGCCTACTTTTATTTAACATTCTATGTTACGGTTGTTGGTAGCAGAACAGGCCTATTTCATTAAATAAAGTACATTAAATTTGTTGTTTAACCATGGAGGAATACATTTAGTACTTATTCATCCATGGTAGATATTAGAATGTAAAGCCACATACAGCCTTACTGTACTCCTATTGTTACATCTGCATTGCAGTCTACTGTAGATTTATCCAGAAAACATCCTTTATATATGCTATTTTCCTACAAAAAATAGAAATATTTGATCGATTTTGGTTAACTGTTTACCAAAAGATGAAATAGTTGCTGAAGAACATCAAGTGTGATGATTGGTCGGAAAGGTGATGACAATTAATAGTGAATTTAGCTGTTATGAGTCATCACAGACAAATGGGAGGATTAAACCCAGTTCAGATTTGTCAGCGATGATTTCTAATTACGTCAAAAAAAAAAAAAAAAATACACATTGTTGTAATTGTTGTAGCATGAGTGTAGGAATTTTATGAAAACCAGCTTTAACGTCAGGTTTGTGTGATCACATCCTGGTTGTATAGTAGTTATTTATAGACATTGTTTTCTGTGGAATGCGCACTAAATGACAAAATATGCTTGATCACCAGCATCGTTTGGCCTTCCTTGACTCAGACGCTTCAACTTAACTAGCAGCAGCAGTAAAGTCTTTGCTCGTGGTCCTATGCCGATTTTACTTATGTCACTCTCCAACAGGAACTGGCCTTCTGTCTTTCTGGCTATGTATTTGTTAAGTATCTTGACCCAAGCATTGACATCATTCAAAGGTAGAAGTCTCTGAAGAAAGCTAGACTGCTGCTGGAACTCTTCCTCAGATACCAGAGCAATCAAACCAGATCTATAAAAAGAACAATTGCAAAAGTTATGAGCTTATAATCTGCCTTGAAAAATACTGTAATTTGTTTTAACAGAAAGTAAATACCTGTAAAATTATAAATGAAGTTAATCAATCATGTATAATGCCCATGTTATCTTTAATTTTTTTTAAATAATATAATATTTATATTTGTTGTTCAACAAACATGAATAATCCCTCCAAGTAAAGACCACTTTTGGATTTGGTTTTCCTGGTTCTTAGCATCTTTGGTCTCTAATTTAAAATAATTATAATAAAAATAAAGAATAAGTGCTCATTCATTGCCACAAAAAAAGCGGTCTTTAACTGGAGGTGGTCCGTATTTCTAAGGGTTTTAATTCAGAGGGAGACATTTATTGAAAAATATGAAATTACAACTTACTTTTGACATTTGCTACTTGGGTTCCTTACGATTTCAATATCAACAGATTCAGCATCTACGGTACTTGGTGAAGTAGTTGGTACACAATTCAAAGACAATCCACTTTCATCACCCTCAACATCTGGCATAGCTGAAGACAAACTTTTATCTTTTGAACTTGCCAATGAAGCTGCGACATCAACATACCTAAAAGAACACAAGTCATTTACCAAACCTTTTTGGGCAAAAATGTTCATAAGGTACAGAAATGAATCAATGACAATATTACCAAATATTCTTGGGATAAGGCAAGGCTTAAAATACAAAATTATGATCGAAAAATAGAGGGGTCATCTTAAATGCGCAACATATATATTTGTCGTTTAGATCGTCCGTAAAACGTGAATTTACTATGAAATGAAGTTACTAAGTGTTAGTTTGAATGAAAGAAATTTTACAGAAACAGGGAGCCAAGAGTCTTAAACAATCAGCTTTAATAATTGAGTCACATCCGTAACAAGTGTGCTGTTATGTACCTTGAATAAGAGAATGTTAGTTCTGGTGTTTTTGGCATTTCTTCCGTGTCATGGAAGTTCCTGAAGGCTTTGAATGGTGTAGGAGCACTGGCAAAACCACTAGATGTGTTGTGATTTGTTGCCAATTGATTTGATAGTAAACATGGTTCAGCTGGCAATGTTGCTTTTGCGGGATCACTGTTTTCTTGAAGCAACAGAACTGGCTTCTGGGGTACTTTCTCAGGCTCTGTTGCTAGCATCAATTGTGGTTCAGTAGGCGTTCCATAATCATGATGCAATGAAGAACTGGATGGCAGTCCTGAATTGATGTCTAAGGCATTGGAGATGAGTTCTGGATCATCTGGAGAATTATGTGAAGGAACTTGGTACTTCAATTCCGGCATGGTTGGTGTGTTGTCGCTAGTAGGTTCTGCTTGCCACATACTCTTTGGTTGGGGAACGATGTTTCTCTGGATAATGCTGGTTGGATGATAACTGGTTGGTGTTGGATGAATGCTGATCATTGATCTGGACTGAAGAGGAGTCTGTATAAGTAAACAAAAACATAATAAAAATCATCACCATAAGTATTCTTAAATATTCAAATAAACATGTGCAATAACCAGTGTAATTGTGTTTGTATGTCATGGATACAGATACAGATTTGTAGTTTGCAAATTACAAACTCTTAAGAATATCAATGATAATTTTAAGTAATTTAAATAATAATTAATATAACAATAATAATGATCAATCAGAATAAATATTTATATCAGCAACAAAATTACAACTGAGATAATAAATAATCCTTTTATTGGACCAAAACATCGAAGGAAGTGGTCTTATAATTCAGGGCTTGTCATTTGAAAACAGTAGGCGAGCTTTAAATCACTCACCTTATTTTTTAGGCGAGTGATTGAGGTCATATGCATCCATAGGAGGATGGAGGATTGAGAATTGGGATTTACCAGTGATGTACTGTGGGATCTACAAGTAATGGACCAAGAGATGAGTGGGCACTCTCTTGTTTTGACTGATTAATTCCTCCTAATTAATTAACACCACATTTTAAAGTTAAAAAAAAACGAAATGTTTTAAAAAATGCAATGAAAAGAGTTCACTACTCACTGGAGCATAGAAGCTGTTTTCACAATTCTGCGCAGCTCTTGCATTGTGTGAAGCAGCAGCGTTCAAGCACATTGTGTCACCATCCTCCTTGGTTATCTGCCTCAATCCAGGTGTTTGTAGAATGGGAGGGATGGGTGAATTCAAATAGGCTGAACCTGAATCAAACAAGGTTACAGTCAGTTTAACTTAAATGTGTTAAAATGAAAAAGAAGTGTATTATTTATGGTCTTTACATATTAACACAGAGGTAGATAATATTTTATAATAGCAATATACAAGGAAGTGGTGGATCTAGGAATTTAAAGTAGAGGGAGGCCCAGGAAGAGACCTTCACAATTAGAAGGTCTATACACCCGGTTCTTAACTAATTTGGTCCTTTGATCTTTAGTTTATTCATAACTCACCTACTAGGGGTAATGTATTGATTGGTCAAACACTTTTGGTACTTTTTTATTCCTGATGATGGCATAATTAATGTCGAAATATTGAATCCCGACACGATGGCGTGTATTTCGATAATTGGAGTACTATGTATTATACTATCTTATCTGAGATTAATCAGTGGACCTTTCGGTTTTTACCTTTACCTTTATGAATGTTTTCAAAAATTGTTAACAATTCCTGTCATTACCTTGCATATGTTCGGGAGTATTTGTAGGTATCTTCCTTCCATATCCAAACAGACCAGGAGTAAGGACTACATTTGGATCAAATGGCGATTCTAACTCCTCCTGTGTTGCTGAACTTAGAGCAGGTGATTTCTTAAAAGGGGTCCTAAAAAAATAATTAGATAAGAAAATTATGTACACATGTAGGAATGAAAACTATTAGGGGTTGAGGTATGGAGCTGTTGCTTGTGTGGTTAGGGTTTATTAATTCGGTGTAAGCAACAAGGATAATCCACAAACGTCTGAAGAAGACTTATTTCCAGTGGGGTCCTTCTGGTGGAAGGCCCCTACTCTTTTTCTAAGTGTTTTTCAACGTGCAAATGGGCCATAAATGCACTCTCAGGACCAACTGCTCAAACGAAAGATGGTGCGCTATCGTAAATTTCATTTCAGCCCTCCAGCTCAACGGTTCAGTGCACACACTGTGGCTGCCACAAGTTTAGCCAACTGAGCTAAGCCGCTCAGGTCTTGGGTTAAAATCCTGTAATACTTTAGTTTTATTTAATAGTATATGGAATCGTCAGTCATATTTCAGGTCATATGAAGTTGACTAGATTTTAGTACAAGTGTCATACGTGGTAGTAAACAATTTTCCCACATGTGTACATTAAGTAATGTAATTTTTATTATGTACTTCAGTCTCTCTGTACCAATTATATAATATTAATAATTAATATTTTTTTATTACATCACAATGTGAGATTGTCTTTTGTGATTCACTTTGTAATCAATGAGCATGGTTGTGATTCTGTGTGCATTTAGCTGCAGTACTGTACATTGTACTCAGTGTTCAATGACTTACCCAGTTAAGTCAACCTTTTTCATCTTTATTTTCCTTTGAGAAGCCATGTTTTGCTTAGCCAGGAAATCCAGTGTTTGTCGACTGATGCCGAAATCAGCAAGTGTCGGAGTCCTTGTTGCGGTGTCCATTTGGGATTTGAGTGCTGCACAGGTGGCTGAGTGCTTTGGAGTTTGTCTGATATCAGCGTAAAGAAAAGCACACTTAAAGTATGTTTACCATTTATCCTTTAGGTGAAAAAAAGTGTTAAAAGTTTAATATTGTATTTATAGGCCTGTTTGTGCTGAGCTAATACATTAATATAGAAATTCAACTGTATTTGAAAAAAACATGCATAAATATGGTCATTAAGATGCTACATCATGACCATATATGCAGATGTCTATATATGGGCCCACCAGTTTTTTTTTTGTACATATTGTAATCATTTTTTTCCATTGTTGTGAATCTTCTTGCAATTCTGTAATGTTGTAATTTTAGAGATTGATAATAAAAGCAGAATGAATGAATGAAAACAAAGATAGTGCGGACAAAAGCCCTGAAAATAAATTGCAATGAGAAAGAATTCCCATCAATTAATACATAAATAATTTTTTTAAATTTACTTAATATTTTTCTATTTCTTTTCCCTACATTTTTTTAAATCTATTTTTTCATTATAAAGGTGGCCAATTTCTTGTCCGAGTGTAGTTCATGTATTCGTCTTTCTACCACTCTTATAATATATACTTAAAAAATATAGAAAACGTATTAAAAAAGGCATTTAGTTTTATAGAGCATTAAAATTAAAGGATACGGATATTGCTGCATGGGTTCCTCATCAGGTCCTTGGTTTTCCTTGTCTTCCACATAATCTGATGAATCTGCAGTTACATAGTACAATATTAAAATAAATCTTTGGTATGTTGCATCATACAACAATATAATGTCTATATCCAACCATAAGGGAATTTTATTTATCCATGACCCGGCCAAAAAAAAAAAAAAAAAAAACCAAACAAAGGGTTAACCTGCTCAAGCCCAGTGATGTTTTTTACATTTTTTTCAATACTATAGGCCTACAGTATGCCTTACTCTGGGGTTCACTGCTAACCATCACTCATTCTGTACACTTTGGTTGCAATGGTTGGTTAAAAATGGTAACCACAGGGCTAAAATCCATGATTAAGTTAGGTACCATAATATTAATGCTTTAAAGTATCCTTTTAAAACATTATATTGGTGTTTTGAGCTCTTCCAGCCACTTCATCCACCCATAGATTTTCAAGATTTGTGACCATCAACCTTGGACAATAAAGCGTTTACCTCCTCAAATGTACACGATACTAAATTGAATTCAGAGTGCAGTACTAAGATACTGTATGTTATCTAGAGTACATATATAATATTTTTTCATAAAAGCTGATAACAACAGTAGACCTACCTTGATTATTGATATTGGCTTCTATGGACTCTGCTTTCTTGTAACCGTACTTTTGTAAGTTCTCATCCAATAAATGTAATCTTTCTTTGGTCAGATCCGCAACAATCTGCACATTATCTAGGAGATTCCTAAAGGAAACCTGCTCTTGCAATTCCTTCAAATCATTCTGGGCTTGTAACTAAGAACACGACTTAATCAATTAGTAAAAGCACAGTGATCCTTTGGCTCCTGATCAAAGAATCTTGATATTGTTTTTATTTAAAAAGTATACAAACTCTTAAATGAAATGTCATTCTAATAATAATAATAGTAGCGTGGGTGGGTTTAACCTCAAAGTTGGCATGCCATAAAATAATCTATTATAATTCCAAAAATACAAATAAAAAATAAATAACAACGTTGAAAGTACAGGTAGCATTAGTTATATATGTAGCAGTAAAAGTGGCAGAAGTGGCAGCATTCAAAATGGCAGTAGTCCTACACAAATGAATCATAATGGGTTTCTTTTTTCACTTTTTGAGTTAATGGACTAAAGAGTATAAATCATTTGCCAACAACAGAGAAACCATTTGCTTTGTCAGGGTGTGCAAAAAATCGATGATTGAATAGTTGGATTAGTATAGTGCATCATGTGAAAAAGCCTCTATGTGCTTGGTGATTGAGCTCCTTAAGTTTGACATTCATATTTTTAAAGCCTAACCATTCTCAATTGTAAAATTCTTAAAACCTGAAAGTCATACCGTCATAGTTTGTATGTTGCATTGAAGTTCTTTGAGAATGAGTTCAGCTGATCTAGCCCCAGGACGCATGTGAGATGGCATGTTAATACACGTCTCAATGTGCTTGCTATCTTTCTCTACTTTGGCTGCTAGATGGCGCAGCTTTTTGAACACATTTTCTTGCTCCATCTTATGAACCCTGGGATTAGAGAAAAGAACACATTGATTTTCTCTTCCTATTTATTATTTAAAATATACAAAAACAGTAGCACAAGGCTAAAACTG